CTCCGCCGTCCTGTTGGAGCTCCGCGCCTTCAGGGTTTGTTCTCCGCCTCCATCCCGTCCCGCTCCCCGCCTTTCCCCGCCACACGCGCCGGATGCGTTCCAGCTGTAGTTTTAGTAAATTCTGTCTCCAAGGAAATAAAACGCTCCTTGAATTATACCCCTGTTTTTATTTAAAGCCACCGATTCAAATGCCTCAGCTTGACAGCCCCTGTGCTCTGTTTCAGGTGATCTGACACAAGACCATCTGTCAAGATGTTGAAGTTTAAATGTGGCGCCCGAAATGGGGCAGAGGCAGGACCGATGGAACCCATCACCAGCAGAACTTCGAGGCTAAATCTGCTCTTTCAGGTAAAGCCCATCCGGCCTGGGCTTGGCTGATCTTGGTCTCATCAGTGCCCGTACCCGGGCGTTCGGCTGGTTCGTGTGTGGCGCTCGGAGTGCCTCTGTGCGGCCCTTTGAAGGAAGGGGCAGAAGAAGGGGGACACTTGTTGAAGTTCGAAGCGTGTACCTAGTTTGTATGAAGTTCAGTGGACAGTAGCTGGTGTTATGTTCATGTGCATCTGTTAATGCTTTAGCCTGAGTGTGTTTTCCACTCGTAAAGACGAAATACTGCATTCTGTGTCTTGTGATCTGCAGTTTTTTTCATGGGTGATGTAGCTGAGTGTTCGGCATGAGATGGATTTACCTAACCAGCTGCTCCTTGACCATCTGAGGTTCCGCAGCTCTTCCTTCTAGGACAGATATGGATACTGATGGCTTAAACTACCTGTACTGTGAGGAAAACCACAGGGTACACCAAGGAAAAAGCCCTTCCTATCAGAGCCACCACTAGGATGGTGATTGTTTCAAGAAAGCTGCGATTTGAACCTAAGCAATCTTTAAAGGATTGCTTTGTCTAAAACCAAAATACCTGTAACAGCTATCACGGACAGATACAGTGTGTTGATACATTTACCGCACGCTTCTGTATCATTTGTCTAATTTCTGAAGTCATGATTTTAAAACGGTTAATATATAATCTGCTTCATGCATATGTTATTGATTTGAGGCTTTTCATTGTTGTCTGAGACTCCATCTGCTGTTGCTTCTGTTTTTTTCCAGGGGAAGCCGTTCTTTGTGACTCAACAGCAGATGTCTCCTCTCTCCCGGGAAGGCATCCTTGATTCTTTATTCGTTCTTTTTGAAGAATGCAGAAACCCCGCTTTAATGAAAATTAAACATGTCGGCAACTTCGTCAGGAAGTGTAAGTTTGTGTAGCCCAGTTCTCAGGTGTCATTTTAAAAGGCCGTTCTTAAGAATCTAAATATTTAAGTAATACTTTAGTTGCTTTGATTCGTTAATGATTGTAACCCAGGACTTGGAGCGTCTGACTTTTTGTGGTCAGACTCAATGTTGCAAAGGGGATCTTGGCAATCTTAGTAAAGCTTTGGTCAGATCCAAAGAGGTTAAATGCAAGTGGCTTTTGAACTGCCATGACTCGAACGTGCCTCCTCCTTAGTCTGCGCTATATTTGTAGTTGAGGAGACACTTTCGTTAAGAGTGCCTGGGTACTGCATACAGCAAAATCTGCACAACAGAAGGATGTCACAGTTGAGTGCAGGACAGTGACTAGAAGTATGAGGGAAAGAAAATTCTGGAAAGGAACTTGGTAATCCTTGGCTCGTTCAGCTTGAAGTAATCTTTTGGATGCCATGTGTTACCCAAATTTTGCATGGTTAACTTGTAAATAGTAATTCTGTGCTTCGGAAATAAAAATTCCTGATGGAATAAATACGTTACTGATAACCTGCTCAGGTTCTTTTTGTGGAATAGGAAAAAAAAAAAAAAGGAGGTTCCTCAATTTTTCTATTAAGATATACTAGAAAGCCATTTGGTAGAAGTGACTGATCATGCCCTCTGTAATAATTCCATCAGACACTTTCTAGATATTATTAGCAGGGAGTAATTTTCTGCTAGTCTGAAGAATTTTTAGAACAATCTCCAGCGAGCAGGTGATTATCACAGTGCATGCTGGTAGAAACTAGTCAATGGGAAGCTTGAACCGCCTCTCTGCACTAAATGTCTACGGTTATTTGTTAGACAATAGACTAGTGCCTCCCACAGGCGGAGGAGGAAAACCTGCCGTTTGACTGTAGAACTCGGCTGGGTGAAGCCCTCGTGTTTAGAGAATACGCGTTGTATTGGTAAAGGATGGTTGGGAAGAAGTTAGAAACAAAAGGGGCTATCAGCCTGTGGTGTTATGAATGGGACAGAATTATGGTTGCTATGGGAACTGTCTTAACATTTCCTGATTCCTTTGTATGTACTATATCTCTGTCTTAACTGCATTTATACAGTCCTTTTCCTAGTTCTTATGCATGTTTTTTTTTTTTAAAGAAGCATATTCTAGAATGATTTAATATTTCTTGCGAGTCTGGCTCTAAATGGGGGTTTCTGTGGAGGTTTTTTTTGTTCCCCATTTCTGACGTTGTGTTTGTTATGAAATGCCAGTTGGTTAATGTAAAAAATAAATATTTTTATAGATGCAGAGACTATAACTGAATTAAGGGAACTGCAGCCCAGTGTGAAGGATTTTGAAGTGAAGAGTGTGGTGGGCTGTGGACACTTTGCAGATGTGAAAGTAGTGAGAGAGAAAGTTACGGGTGACGTGTATGCTATGAAGGTGATGAGCAAGGAGTCCCTGTTGGCGCAGGAGCACGTATGTATATTTTTCTGCTGTGACAGCCGAACGATAAATCAGTTTGTTGAACATTTCGTTTTCGTCACTACTCTTAGAATTAAGTTAGAGGTGTATCTTAAGAAGGATCATCCTACATTCCAGTGATGTAATATATTTGTGTGTATTGTTGCCGTGTTTAACAGCCGTTGTCATAGACTGTGAATCCATTGGGTGAGGTGCCATCCAAAGAAAAAATGGCCCTTCTCTAAAAGAGCTTTCCATCTAGTTGTAAGTCAAGAAAAAAACAGATGAAGAAAATCCTGGATCAGCATAGATCAGCTTGATGATAGCTTGGATTTCCAAGCATTATTCATTAAGGGTTTATTTTAAAGAGCGACGTAGAATGTCAGGAGTGGGTGTGAAGGCAAACTATGGTGACTGGATTTTTATGGAGAGCCTCTCACTAGATTGAGAAATGTGTTACTTGAAAGCTTAAAATGGGATAATGGAGGTTGTTACCATAGTGTGGTGAGAAACAGAAGTTAATCTTTCACTGACATGAGATGACAAGTAGAGGACAGAGATACTCCATGAAAGACCTTGTGAATGTATACAGCAATATCTGCATCAGTTCTTCCCAGTATAGGGGGTAGTCAGGTTGCTCCTGAGGTCCCTTAGCGTTGTTGGTGGCTAGCAGAATGAAGCTAAACTAAAGTGACTCCTGCTAGGTGTAGGTTCCCAAGAAAGCAACGATGATGCTGCCCTCAATATGACACTTTCTCAGGCTTGCTAAGCGTGGGTCAGTGAAAGGAGGGAATGTTGATCTAAATGAACTTGCAGTATCTCTGTAATAAAATTAATTTCTTATTGTCTGGCTGGCCATCTGAATAATTAAATAGTTGCTAGAGGATGATTTCAAGAAAGCCTTGTGTTTTAATACCTTACAATGAATTTATTACCGAATTAGCTGTAAGATGCTACCCCATAATTGCTTTAGCTTCTTGTCTGCTTGTCTGATTTTTTTGAGATTAGTTTTAATTTATTAGGGCCAGTCCAGATGAGGTCAACCAAGATTGCACTCCAGGCTGGTAGATGCTTCACCAGGTTGAGAGGGAAGCTGGCCTTTGCTGCAGGGACTCTTCTGTTGAAAGCAAGCTAGAGAACAGAAGGTGGGAGGGGAATGGAAAAGCCACAGAGGAGTAAAATTACTTTTTTAAAGGTGCACATCACAAGGAAATAGCATTTAATATTTTCTGTGTAATTTTTTGTGATGCGTGCTATTGGCACAGTCTCACATCTTTCTAAAACTAGGGGATTCTAATGTATTCTAACTCATTTTCATCGTGATATGACTGAACACTTCCCTTTTTTTTGTAGGTGTCATTTTTTGAGGAAGAACGCAGTATATTATCTCAGAGCACCAGTCCATGGATTCCACAGCTACAATATGCATTTCAAGACAAGAAAAATCTCTACTTGGTAATGTCTAGTCTCCTCTGTCGAACACTGTTGCTATTGTTATGCTGAAGAATGATGTGATGGGTGAAGTGTGCTGCTCATCTGTAAATTTTCTGCATCACATGCCACTGTTTGATATGTGTCCAGTGTAATATGGAGGAGTTAAATGGAATGTCTTTTGTGGATGTGAACCATATCTGTTCCTTTAAAATTTTATGTAGGTTATGGAGTATCAGCCTGGAGGGGACTTACTGTCACTCTTGAACCGATACGAGGACCAGCTGGACGAGAGTATGGTGCAGTTTTATCTTGCAGAGTTGGTTTTAGCCATTCACAGTGTGCATCAGATGGGCTATGTACACCGGTAGGTAAAGGTTGCTTTGCACTGCACATAATATTTCATCAGTTTCATTCCAAAAAAAGTGTTCTGGAATGGTGCATTCTTGTGGTTTTTTTATATTCCATCCTTTCAGGACAGTATTTCACATGCTGTATCAGAAGAGAAAATTAATCAGACTGCAACTATAATTGTAGCTAAAGGCATTAACTTTGATGTAAAGTTCAAACTAATAGAAAGGATTGTTACATGTATTTTCTGGAGGCTTGGTAAAAAGAAACCTTAATGCGGGACTATAAAAAATTAAAATCTATCTAGAGATTGTTGCTTTTAGCCCCAAATAGTCTGGGAAATCAGTGTAATTGTTAAAACTCCTTGTCTGCTGATTGGTGAACAGGGCAGTATAGGATGTTGGAGTAGGTAAGTATCACCATTTCCTAAAGCTCATATCAAGCCTTGAAGGCTGGTTTTGTCTGCGTTTTCAAATCATATTGGTGTTTAACTCATTTATTCCATTCTGAGGCTTTGGAAATGTTAGGGAGCATTTTATGTTCTGACCAGCTGTAGTGGCTGCGCTTAGGGCATAGGCTGGGGCTTTCTAATGCAAGGCAGCTGCCTGGATTTGAGAGGTGTACAGAAGAAGTTGTGAGGAAATTTGGGATGAAAGCTACATTATACTTCACTGTAACTCAGTTACAGTGTAGTCAGGGGGAGAAACCACCTTCTCTTTCCATTTTCTGGCAATAATTATTGACTTCCTGTGAAATAAGGGGAGCTTTACTACTTTCATATTTGCTCGGAAACAGAACAGCAGTTGGAAGTAAGACTCCCACTCGCTGAGGTTTTATGCAACTGAGCACATGTTTGAGTGTAGCTGAAATGGGATATCCTGTTACCTAGATGTGACAGTGGGGAAAGGTGTGGAAAGGTACTGATTGCGTTCTTCGTGCTTACAGAGATATCAAACCAGAGAATGTTCTTATCGACCGAACGGGACACGTTAAACTGGTGGACTTCGGGTCAGCTGCCAAAATGACAATAAACAAAACGGTAATAATGTGGATGTAAACTTTGTCTATGGCCTGTTTGGGTAGTCCAGTCAAAAAGGGAAAACTAACTTGATATCTGTTCTTGGATTACACGTTGGTCTTCTGCCTTTCTTGTCTGATATGGAATCTAGTCACAGTGATGTTTCTCCATTGATGACTAGCTTTGCAGAGCTCGAGTGTCTTTTGCAGCTCTCAGTAGATGTGTCTTAAAACTTGAAGAAGCTTGAAATATATAAGTGAGGTAAAGGCAAGTTTACTTTCTCATGGTGCTGCACTGCAGTACAAAATCGTATTTCTAGAGATTCTTGAAACTGTTCAATGCTGTGTTTCAAGAAGGACATGGATTTATAATTGGTCATAATTGGACTGAAAATTGTGGTGTTTGTAACCAAGGTGGCATAGTTATGAAGAACGGGAGCTCTTGAGTGAAATGGGTCGCATGCCCATGTGCTGGGCTGTACTTACCAGAAAGCACTGTGCTCAAAGCTGTGAATCTATTGGGTTTTTTTATAAGTCACTTGTAAATTTAGGTAACTGCATACAATTCCAAGTGGTAATTTGAAATTAAAATATATCTAAGTGAGAATATGAAGTTCTAGTCCAGATTCCTGTCTTGTTTTCCAATTCTTACTTTTGTAGCATTTTCTTAGTATTGTGACTCCTAATACTTTATTTCCCCTGTTCTTCCCTTTTCAGTGCTTCTCTGCATTGCATTTTTCTTTTACATTTTTTCCTTCATGTTATCTCGTCATCTTCATATTTTTGTCTTAGTCTGCCTGCTCTTTTGTTTCATTCTTTATGCCACTCAGTGCAAAAATGGTTGCAGTTCTGGCTCCTGAATTACCTTTTCTAAGCACCCCAGAAATTCAAATGCTAGTACTTTGCTGATCACGAACACAGGGTAAAGAGGTAGGGATGACACAAAATGGAACGAGGGCAGGGAATATTTGACTATTTTTGACATTTCATCTATGATGTCCTTGTTAATACTAGTTGAAGCAGTAGTGCTAGACCATGTATACTGCTTAAAACATGGGTGTTTAGTAATATTGTGCTTTTCAGAATGCTGCTTTTCTGCTTTAGCCATTTGTCCTTTCTCGTAACAATTAGCTCTGGTAATTTGACTCTTTTTTAATACAAAATGGCTTGCTTTCAGTTTGTTTGTCAGCAGTTTCCTTAGCCTTGCAGTTAACAGCCCAACTTAAAATTACTTAAAATTCACTTGAAGGCCTGAAAATTGTGTCTCAATTAAAAAAAAAGAAAAAAGATTTGCTTTGTTACCAGGATGACAGTGAACAGAAAGTGCTGTAATTTCACTTGGCGTATCTTTGCTTCTAGGTCAGTGCCAAGCTACCTGTTGGCACACCTGACTACATGGCACCAGAAATGCTGACGGGGTTGAATGGGGATGGCAAAGCTTCTTATGGTCTGGAATGCGACTGGTGGTCCCTTGGAGTCATCGCATATGAAATGATGTACGGAAGATCTCCGTTCACCGAGGGGACCTCAGCAAAAACTTTCAATAACATCATGAACTTCCAGGTAGGGAGAACTCCTTTCATGTTCTTGAGTAAAAAGCTGTGGCTAAACACTGTATTTTTACAGTTGAGAAAAGAAGCTTATGGATGTCTATTACTCTGTCATGTTCATAAAATATTTAGAATATATGCTTTAGATTATTTTTATGTGTCTCTGTATTGTGGGTACCACGTTATTTTCTGTAACAGGTGTCTAAAAGTAACCATCTGCAGTGCATGAATTAAAAAAGATTTAGCTGTCCATCTTAGGCAACCATAATTGGAGCCTTTCCAAAATAATCTAGAAAAGGGATTGAAAGGATGAATTGTGGATTGATAAAGTTGCTGAATCTTACTGTTTCTGCATAGTAAAGGCAAGGACTAGCTATGAAAAGCTGCAGAAAGACTTGAGGGTATTGAGTATCTGCAGGATTAAAACATCATGTGAAATTTGGTGTAAATGCATTTAAACCAGGGCATGTGAAGGGAAAAGCTCCCAACTTTATCCAGTGGTGGGCTCAAGAACGATACGCAAATGTTAGCATAGTTCTAAGTCCAAAAAGCAGCACATAGAATGGTAGGGGTTAGGAAAGGAAAAAGAATAAAAATACAACCGTGTGTAGCTGGGAGGAAGTGAACAAAGAAGAGTTTCCTATTATCTCTTCTAACATGGGAATTAGGGGCCTCAAGTGGAAGTGGGCAGCAGTAACTACCTTACAAGAAAAGAAGGGTGCTTCATGTAGCACATCCTCATGCTGGAGAGCTCTTTGCGTAAGTTTGCAGCTACTGAATGTTTATGAGTTCAAAGAGTGACTAGAAAAATTCACAGAAGAAGAATCCATTGGGATCTGGCAAGTACAAATGCATTGTCCCCTGGTTCAGGAAATCCTAAGCTACAGATCCTTGGAAGTTTGGGAGAATATTCTGGGGAAGTGTCTTCCACTTCTCCATGCCATTGGCCGTTGCTCAGCATAAGATGCTGATCTGGGGCTACTGTTTGTCTGACCAGGAATGGTTGTCCCCATGTTTATGCATATAAAAGCCTCTTTGGAAAACAATGCACAATACTTTTATTTGTGTGCTATAAATACTTATCCTTTGTGCCTGACCTATCTCAGAATAATGAAGCTTAATCTTACTCTTCTGGGACTGTTTTCCTACTGAGCAGAAATCCTCTCCTTTTTAATGCAGAGATTTCTGAAGTTCCCAGAGGATGTGAAAGTTAGCAGTGAATTTCTTGATCTGATCCAGAGCCTGCTCTGTGGGCAGAAGGAAAGGCTGGGTTATGAGAGTCTCTGCTGCCATCCATTTTTTTCTAAAATTGACTGGAATAATATACGTAACTGTAAGTAGAATCATACTGTATTTACAAACATTTCCTGTTTCTTGGGTAACATGAAAATTTGTACAACGTTGAGTATTTAAGCGTGTTTGCTCTGAATAATTATTCATAATGAAACAGGGCTGTGTCCTGGAGCAGGTGTTTTTAACAAAACAATTAATTTTGGGTTTAGGATAGGATATGGTCACATCTCTCCGGTGAAAATTGTAAGGTAAGATAAAGTTGAATACACTTCTGATGGAATTGCCATATTACTGCAGTCACTAGACTGGAAAATCATATTGGTCCTTTCCATGTCCTTCCTTAGATTACAATGCATCAGTATGTCCTTTCAGGTCTCTTCCATCTCTGCTTGCTTAATTTTGGCTTTATCTCGTTATTTTTTGTTGTACCTTCAGCTTTCTCTCTTTCTTTGCTTGTGATCCAACTTCATTTGAGGTTGTGTTTTGGTTTTTTTGTAGCTTTTGTAGGTGATAAAATGTCAGCGGTCGTAGGGGCACTGGAGTTTTCCCTCATTGTGGCTAATATATGACCAGTTTTTTTGTCAAAAATCTGTTTGCTCCACTAAAGATAGAATAAAACCAGTGAGGCAGATAATTTTCAGTGCAGAAATTTGTTTATAATACCGTGGAAGCAATGGAATTTAGTGTTTGGAAGTTTTGAGGCATCAGCTCTGTGACAAAAGCGAATATTTCATAGATCACCAATGATCTGTGTATGAGTGCCTGCCTTGTGCTGGATAGTATTTTAAATAGTTTGGACTGTAAGATTATCTGGGCAAGGAACATGTCTGCCTTACATTCTTTATCAAATAAACTGTAAGAGCAATGTTGGTGCTCCATTTTCCATGATAGATTGCTAAGGCAGGGCTTCTACTTTTGACGGCTATCTCAGCACTTCAGCTGTCAGCTCCACAGAATGTTTACTCCCTTTTCTCTTGATTCATTAATTTTGAACTTGTGGAGCTGCTGTTCTGTCAAATTCCATTGGTTCTGCCCTTTGAGAGCCATTGAGCCTTGAGACTTTTTCATCATTTTAGCATGCATTTCCCAGGCTTCAGCTCACTCTGCATTCTTTCTCCACAGCCCTGCCTAAGCCACTCGTTTATTTCTGAAATGTTTAGGTTGCATTTCACAGATTCACAGAGTGGTAA